TTGTGCAGAACTATAGGGGGACCCAAATCTTCAGCATCTGATAAATCTGATGATTTACCCCCTAAGTTTATAACTTATTGTGACATTAAAGGTTAATGTCTTTCTTTTTTTTAATAACAAACATGCTATACTTTCCTGCTATGTGCAGTGGTTTCAGAGCAGTCCTGATCCTCCTCTTTTCATGTTCCCGCCAGTGCTATAGGCCCCTCCCTACTGCCTCCCCATAATAAGCAGCTTGCTATGGGGGCACCCGAGCAGGCTCGTTCCCGAGCCGCTGCTCTGTGTGTCCATTCACACACAGTGCATGGCTCTCCCCCCGCCCAATCTCCCCTCAATGGCTGTGATTTATAGCAGCAGAAGCCAATGGCTCAGCCATTGAGGTGGGAGAGATTCGGGATTGCTGAGGCTCTCGTTCACATCGCTGGATCGAGATGGGGCTCAGGTAAGTTTTAGGGGGGCTGGGGGCTGCTGCACAAACCTTGAGTCTTTACAACCACTTTAAAGTGGAACAACATTGCATCTGACCACCACAAACCAAAAAATCAATTTAATTACTCTTTAATATGTGGCATGGACTCACCCATCCATGTCCTCATGCTTTATTTTGCTGAGAAATAACTTTGAAAAACACCCCCCTAGCATTTCTGGCTCAGGCCATCTTGAGTAAGCGCATATGATTCATGTAGCATTTACTTCCTGGAATCCCTCTGCTCCTAGCTCAGGCTTGAAGGCAGGAGGGTGTGCTTAGCTGAGATAACCCTCTTCCTCTCCTGAACACTCCTGAGATATAGGACATCATTTGCCTAGGCAAGAAACCAGGAACTAACTGAAGAAACATTAAACAAAAAAGTTTAAAACAAGTAAATATGATATACTTTCCATCTATTTACTAATGCTAGCAGCATAAGGATTCAAAAATAATCAATATTAAATGAGAGAGTGAAGGTATGCTTTAATAAAGAAGGACACGTGAGTTCAAATCTGAAATGCAGCACCTGTGTATACTATGGTATGGATACAGTATTATGTGAGCATGGATTCATTGCACTGAACATTAGGCATGGTTAAAAGCCTACTCCAAATATACATTGCACACATACAGTTCCTTGTACCCACAAGCTACTCCTATTTTACTGTGCCACAAATGTCTCATAGGCACATTATCCTCGGGACAAAAGATCATTAAAAAAAATGAAACTCCTAAATTATAAAAATTATATGCACACACCAGGGGCGGACTGACCATTCGAGGGCCCGAGGTCATTAGGGGGCCCCATGAAATGCCCCTGGTACCTTTTATAGGCTTTTTTTGAGCATGGGCAAGGACACAGGGGCCCCATGATCCCCTATTGCCGGGGGGCCCCATGAGTTTTCAGTCCGCCCCTGGCACACACAAACATGTGTGAGAGCTAAGTGGGCTCCTGCACTTACATGAAGTAGCCCCCACAGAGCTGTCACTGCTCTCTGGTCCAGCTTTGCTTGCATACACACAATGATAAACTGGTACACTTGTTAACACATGGCCTATTAACCCCCCTACCAGAAGCAGAGCCAGAGCCAGGGGAATTTTTTTAATTCATTGGGCCTGTGAACAAGATCCTAAATTGGGACCCCTAACTCAGTGTAATAAGTGTCAGAGAATACACTGTAAAATGTATAATTAACTGTCAGAGGATACACTGTAATATGATGAAGTGTCAGATCATACAGTGCAGGCTAACAGAAATCACTGGCATACGATATAGTGTAGAGCTGGCCATAAATGGGTAAAATTAAGTTTTGAAAAATTAGATATCAGAACTTTCGGTTGATTTTCTAACAGGACCAGAATGGAGAAATTTTTTCAAACAAAGTTCGTTCTAATAGTGAATGTAGTTTTTGTTCAAGTAATTCCATTGATCCCAAAATGAAAGGTTAAAAGTAAATACAATTTTAAAGTACTTTTGAATGACATTCGTAAAGCCTCTGATGATATTATCAAATCACTGACAAGATTTTTTGTACGGATGTTTGTAAGAAACTCTACCAAAGTGTACCCAACTTAAAGCGGAGTTCCACCCAAAAGGGGAAATTCCACTTTAAGTCTTTGTCCCTCGCTCCCTATTAAGGATTGGCACCTTAGGGGAGCGGGTACCCAAATTTGACAGGTACCCGCTCCCACTTCCGCTGCGATCGCCTAAGCAATCGGAAGCTGAAGTTGTCCTCCCCCCTCCCTCATAGTAGTCGTCTGGGACACATGACAGGTCCCAGAAGACTACGGGGCCATTCACAAAGCTCAGGGCTTCTTGCGCATGCGCAGTGGGCGTCCAGCTGTGAAGCCGCAAGCTGTCACAGTCGGTGCTGACACAGAAGATGCCGGTTCCAGGGAGAGCAGATGATAGCCGGTGAAACCAGACATGGTGAGAACACCGCTGGACCGAGGGACAGGTAACTGGCTGTATTTTAGTTTTTGTAGCTGCTGACTTTTATTTTATTTTTTTTCAGCTGGAACTCCACTTTAAGAATCGCATCAGATCACACACACAATAAAAACCCAAACACAATCTACTTGCACAGACAGCAAGTTATGCTGTGTAATAGCACCCATTGCTTCATTGTAATAATTCCTTTCTTGGTCCTTTGGTCCATTGAATAGATGTTTATTTACGTGTCAGGACTAACACTTCTTGGGGACTTGGAGAAATGATACTCTATGTGGTAGGGAGAACTTACCTATCTTTCCTGGCTAGAAATATAGGGAAGTTCTCCACACTTAGAAGTATGAGGGCAGGTTGACTTTGTTTTAGTTTGATTTATAATGTTCTCAAAGAAAAGAGAGAGAAAAAAATGTGTGATACTGTAGATACGTAGGACGGGGTGAAAGTGACAACAAGATTGATGGTTTTCTTATCGGTGCTGAATGGAAGGTGGAAGGAGAGGATATGCTGTCAGATGAATCTGGATCAACAGTATATTGATAGGAAGAAAAATGCGTGTAGAAGGGAACAGCAAATGGACTTGAATCAATCTGCTGGACTGTGCTATAATATAGAGCGAGTAATGCTCTCTGCAATCAGCAGGCAGAGCGGGAGCAGCAGGAGGCCAGCAGCAACAGCATGTCTCCACAACCGCACTATAATATAGTAATACATATAGTAATAATATAGTATATAGTAACTGTATATTATAGAGGGCATTACTGGATATTATAGTCCATTCAACAAGGCATGCTGCTGATGGCCTCCTGCTGCCTTAACCCTGTACAAACAGGAAACTTCGGCCCAGTAGGAGAATCTGTGGCCCAGTACCAGCCCGCGGCCCAGTGCTTGAGGACCACTGATCAATCCAGCACATTTTTCCTGACAATCCACAAATGAAACTGCAGCTATGAACTGTTTCAGGTCATTCATCACTGCAGTTGTATTTCTAGCCCACAGTACCAAGTGTCTATGATTTCCAGGCAGAGCCTTTACCAGGTTTATAAGTCTTGCCCTTAACCATTGGGGAAATGACAGTCCTATTCTGTTCATTTTCTTCATATGTTGATGTCAGGGTGTCAGAAGGTGGGTCACCTGACACACGGCCACTAGTGACAAATTGTCAGAATGGCTGATAGGCTGTGTCTGTCCTGTCCACCAATGGATGCCCCGGGCCATTGCATCCTTGGCCCTACCCTCTGCATGCCACTGCTCTCAGCACCTTTGTAGTTCAGAAGGCAGGTTCTGTGACTACGTGACACAGCGGTGCCTACTCACAGGGTATAGTAATTATATGCCATAAAATTGCAGGAAGTAAATGTGTGGGGATCTTCACAAAGTAAGTAACTTCAAGATCATTTAGATTAATAGGTGTAGGCTAGAAGTAATTGAAATTCAATATGTAAGTGAACATTTGATTTTATATTTTGACCATACACTTTAAAATGTCTTGAATTTAGAGTTAAATCACTTGCCACCCCCCATCTGCACTGTACTGTGGGCGAGCGGCGGCTGTAGGCAAAGTGACATACTGGTACGTTGCCGCCTACTCCTGGGTTTAGGGCGCACACAGCAGGGGCCTATCAGCAAGTCCCGGCCAATGATTCATGGCCGGGACCTGCTGATTGGCTGTGTGCAATCACAGCCCCAAGCTCTTTTGTTGGTAAATAATACAGAGCTCTGAACCAAGGGAGCGATCTGTCAGTTTCTCATGCCTGCAAAGTGTGACAGTGCATAGTATTATTACTGATCACTGTATTAGTGTCACTGGTGATGTCAGTGTCACTTAGTCAGTCCCCCCCCCCCATCAGTTAGTTTCAGATTAACTGCCGCAGTATCACAGTCCCATTATAAGTCACTCATCATGGCCTTTAGTATTACAAAAGAAATAATAATAAAAAAAAATTCCAATATACAGTATATATACCATAGTTTGTAGACTCTATAACCAATCAATATGCACTTATTGGGATTTTTTTTAATCAAAAACATGTAGCAGAGTATATTTTGGCCAAAATCTATGAAGAAATGTTATTGTTTTAATTTTTTTTTATTAGATATGTTTTATACCAGAAATTAAAAAATATTCATTTTTGGTCTTTTTTCATTTATAATGCAAAAAAAATAAAAAGTGGTGATCAAATACCACCAAAAAAAAAAAGCTCTATTTGTATGGAAAAAATTATATGAATTTTGTTTGGCTAAAGTGTTACATGACCGCACAATTGTCAGTTAAAGCAAAGCAGTGCTGAATAGTAGAAAATGGTCTGGTCATGAACGGGGTAACATCTTCCAGAGCTCAAGTGGTAAAAACACCTTTAACTTTTAAAAACAAATCTGTGCTTTGCTCAAGTTGAGAAAAGCAATAGGTTCTCTTTAACTTAGACTTCATCAGCAGTCTACACTTACCTTTCTTTCACTCCCTAAATATGCAAATCACAGTTTTTTTTTATATAAGTAGTTCTGTACAAACAGTATGTTATGTACCAGTATACAGACTTCACATGTTATTTTTGTGGTGCTAAAAGTTTTTTTCTTCTGTAGGATTCTTGTAAACAATCTGCAAAGGGTAATTGAAAAGCAGAGTCCTTCTCGAGCAAAGAGAAAACGTAGGTCCCTATTGAAGTATGACTATGAAGACTACCATACACTGGAAGAGGTAAGCATTGGGTCTTTTTGTCATGAACTAGATATGAATTTTATTTTTTTAATGCATTCTTTATTTATGAAATAGCATCTGTATCATTTATAATTTGTAGGAAATAACAAGGGTCATATGGATCAGTACAAAATAACAATGTAAACAAATGGTACTGATATTCGACAACTTTGATTACAAAAAGACATGATAAAGGTAAAAAGGTGGAAGCCCATAATGCTCCAATGGTGGGATTTACTTATCCAATGCTGGGAAGGAAAACATTTGAGAATAAAGGGGAGATTGGATTTGGAGCCTGACATGTGGCCATTGGGAGTCCTTTTTTTTAAACCTACCATGAATTATTAAATTAAACCTGTCATGACAGAAATACATGGACTGCCACTGCTGACCTCTCTCTGAAATTGAATTTTGTCTGGCTGTCATGCTAATTCTCCAACATCAATACTCTATTGACCTGTAAGTATAGAGGTGAGGGGCTCTGATTGGACTAGTTGCATACTTGTTCCTAGTTGCTGACTTAAAGTACAGAAGCTAGAAGATTAGCGTGGCGGCCATGTAATTAGCATTTTCAGAAGGAGACTTGCTTATGGTAGCCTAAGTGTTTGTCTCATAAGAGATATTTTAATGCATATACAACATCTTATGGAGAGATATAATTTAGTGTAAAAATATATAGGTAATATAACCTATCCCCTACCTTCCTTAACAATACTTTTCTTTATGTTTTCAAAACATTTAGAAAACAAGCAATGTAAATATAAAGAATTAGTCAGATCTATACATTAGACTTAAACTTTAAAGGCAAGAGGGACAGGAAGGTTTGGTAAAAAAAAAGTACAAAGACAAGTAGGAATTAATGATATGTTATTTTTTTTACTCATTTTGACTGGAGTTATAACCCTCCCTTAGGCTGCCCATACATGAGTCATTTATGAGGATACATATACCATTCTTTAAAGCCTAGGTTTTGTTTTATATATATATATATATATATATATATATATATATATATATATATATAATTTATTTATTTATTTAATTTATTTATTTTTTTTTTAATTCAGCACAGGGGACAGTACTCACACTCAATATGAAGTGCCCCTTCTACCCATGTCATACCCCATATTGGTAATTTTCTGGTGCTGCAGGGGTTAATAGGATCCACTGGACCTGTCACAGACACTCCTCGAGAATGCCATTATGCCTGCCCTTTCTGTCCCCTCCATTCAAAGAAGCCATGCTATAGCTTACATCAATGAACAGCATTGCGTGAATGGAGGAGTTGGAGCTTTCATTCATTCACCCTTCCTTCATTTAAAAAGCACTTTTCATTGATAGCAATTTTCAATGATAGAAGCTATAGTACAAATTTTATGAATGAAGGGGGGAGGGCAAGCAACGGTACCAAGTCCAAAGCTTGTGTAAACCTCTACAATACTGGAAGTTTACAGCTGCGGAGCTATGGCAGACGACTTTGGATTTCAGCTAAGAGAGAGCATAAGAGAGCAGCCAGCAGCACAAGCAACACTTCCCATTGGATGTAAATACTGTTTCTTGTAGTGTTTTCATAAAAGAAAAAAAAAACCTAAACTTATTCTTTAAGTTGGCCTTAGGCCTTTGAATTGTACAGTAATGGAAATTTTACATACCCGCTTATTGACAACATCAGTAGGTTTTTTAAATAAAGGAAAATTGTATTTCATGTTTAACACATCATTATAAAAAGAATAAGCTATTCCTTTTAATGAATTTTAATGTGATTGTAAATGTTTTTTTTTTAAATAACAAACATCTTTATACTTATCTACTCTGTGCAATGGAATTGCGCAGAGCGGCTCCATTCTCCTCTTCTTGGGTCCCCTGCAGGTGCTCCTAGCTCTTCCTCTCTGTCCAGTGCCCCCATGGGAAGCAGTTTCCCATAGGGGCACTTGTGCATGACAGCAGGGCTCAGCCCCGTCCCCACTTATTTGTCACTGCCTTTGATTGACAGCGGTGGTAGCCAATGGCTCCTGGTGCCCCAGCAAAAGCCAGTGACACACAGAAGTGAGGGGAGAGAAGAGCTGCAGACTTGCACAGTACTGGATCGAATGAGGGCTCAGGTACGTAAAAGGGTGGGTGAGGGGCCAAACGAATGCCTAAACATTTTTTACCTTAATGCAAGGAATGCCTTAAGGTAAAAAATGTTTAGGCTGTAGAATCAATTTAAGATAAAATTGGTAGGTATGATTGTTTTTTTTTAAAGATCTTTGTGTTTTCAGATTGAGAAATGGATGCACCACATGAATAGAACTCACTCAAATCTTGTTCACATGTTTTCAATTGGAACCTCATATGAAGGAAGACCATTATATGTGCTTAAGGTAATATATTCATATCTGTAGCCTAACACCCATCACACAAAAGCTTTCTTTTTTATATTTTTTCTGTAATTGATGAGGCCATATCTGTCATAAGGCATGTAAACATGCCTGATAATAGGTCCCTGTGCGCTCCCGAAATGTTGCTTCCCTCTATGTGATCACACAATAAAAGGAAGCATGTTAGTGGGTGTGTTGGTGACATATACGTACCTGAAATAAATACGTATCCTATTTATGACCAGTCGGACGTTGTTCCAGAACCCTTTTAACCATATGGTCGATTCCAGTATGGTGTTTGAGAAGAATATACTCTGTGTTATCCATAGGGACCCAACTACATCTGTAGCCTACAATCAGTTATGGCATCACCTACAGCTGATTATTGCCTACTAAAAAAAGGAAAGATTTTGGGAGAGTTATGCTTCAGAAAAAAGTTGAATTTTATCACAAGGAACCATGCAGTGCTAGAAGTGCACACTGTTAACTTGACATGCAGCCAACTTCTGGTGGGTGAGATCAAATAAAGCAGGACTCAGCCCACTGATTTAAAGCAGAACTAAGCTCTGCAAATATGAACCTCTTCTCCAACAATCCAACAACCTTGAGGTTCCTCTCCAGCATCTTCTCCTTGGCTTCTTTTGGGTGATGGGTCTTTAGCCAGCACCTTAATGACTGCCATGGGATAACTTAAACTAGAATTCCAGGTTACCACCTAAGTAGTCTTAAAAATGCTTCCTCCCTCCTCCTAACACCCACGCTGACTAACCTGAGATGTGTATACTTACCTATGTCAGCCAGTGGCACCTGCAGGAGAGAAGAGAGAGCAATCGACAATAGCTGGAATTCCTGGGAATGGTGACATCACCCATAAGCTTCCTATGACCCATCTGGAGCAGCTTGAAAATAGGTAACTATATATTTTTCTTACACAGGTTAGTCAGCATGGTGTTAGGAGGGGGGATGGAGCATTTTTAATAATAGTTATGTTTTAGCTAGAATTCTACTTTAATTCTGGCCCATTGTCAGGATTTATTTAATCTCGACTGAGAATGTAAAGTGAGCTGTGCATGCGCAGCTCAGTGTGTATTCTAAAGAAGACTGATAACAGGCAGATAATCTTGTTTTATTGGAGGAGAGACATAGCATGTCTGTTCTGCAATGAATAACACTTTTAGTTTACCTTTAGTGCAGTGTTAACTACTTTTAGATACAATAAAGCCATGCCTCTTGTGTTAACTGTCACAGTTGCCAGTGTGCTTAAGCCAACTCTTAATTTAAAGCGGAACTAAACCCTCCTATACTTTACAGCCATAGAAGCTGCTATGTTAGCCACTGTTTGATATGCAGTTTCCATTGGATCAGTTATGAAAACAGCCATTTGATGGTTCGACAGTTCAGTTCAGAGCAGAAGTAATTGTTACAGTTATCATTCATAGCATTCTTGAATGCAACTGTTTTGGGAAATCCATGGGCTTAGTTTTGCTTTACCTCTCAATACCTTTAATGATTAGTGTCATAGCTGATCACATGTGCAGCACCATGCCAACTACAGATCTAAATAGAAGCTAAGATGGCGCCATCTTCAAGTGTAAAGGATCGGAGACCTTTGTTTTGCTTTAAATGTGAAATAGGTATTTGATAGGTTATTTTCAGAAAGCCTTTATGATTAAACCCTGGGGCACCAAAATATGTTGAAATCAATTTAACTTTTAACAGAGTTATACAAAGGAAACAAAAATGGATACTTATTTGTAATACGGAATGACTATTGCATTAGACCCATGTGCCTTTAACATGTGTATTCTGGAAACGATGAGTGAATGACTTAATCTAATAGGATCCCCATCATGCCAGGCTGGAATTATATTGTGCTGTCTGGTTTGTGTTTGTTAGATTTTCACTAATGTTTGCAGATCACTCTGTCTGTACACTAGATGGTTAGGTGAGACTAGATGCTTTTCAGGTTGGTCTGAGCCAGATTCCATCCTGCAGTTGTCAAAGGACTACAAATCCCTGTGCGCTGTGTCAGCCTCCTCTGCATGGAGTTGTGGACTCTTGGCAACTGAATGGTCTAAGTTTGTCTATGACTGATTTATTTTAAGAATTTTTTTATAAACTGTATATTTCTATTTTTAAAAAAATGTTAACACTGCTAGGAGTGCTAAAGCAGCTGCACCAAAAAAATTTCAGAAGAAAATGGCATGATTCACACAATTTTAGATGTGACTTGAGTTGCACAGAATTGCTTGACGATGGAGATCACATCGATTTCAAAGGTGCCTGTTTGCTATTTTTTGATGATGTTTTGCCCTATAGACATCAATGTAAACACATCAAAATTGCATGTACATGTGTTTTTGATGCGTTTTTATGCAATCCAATGCAATTTTTCCCCCAAATATTCTCCTCATTCTCCTTCTTCCCCCTGCAGAAATAACACCAGTATGAAAATCATGTCAAAAATGCACCAAGTTGAACTGCTGTTGCACTAGATATTAACTTTAGAAATTGGATGAAATCGCAGCTGCCACATTTGTACAGTGGTTGGACTCTGTTTGTTTGCAACAATGTTTTACGCTGTTGAAAACTACTGTTTTCTAAATAAATAAATAATTAAATAAAAAGAAAAGAAATTGCAGCTGCCGCAGTGTAAACCAGGCCTAAAGTGTACATTTAATAAAAACAATTACCTATGTTATAATTAAGGTTGTATACCAGTGGTCTCCAAACTGTGCCCCATGCAGCCCTTTACTTGCCTGTATGCGACCCTTGGGGAACAGTTTCTCACACTGATACAAGGCATTATTCCTCTCACAGACACCAATGATGGAACCCTACTCCTTCCACTGACACCAATGATAGGGCACTATTCCTTCTACTAATACCAATGATCAAACCCTACTTCTTCCACTGACACTAGTAATGTGGCACCATTTCTTTCACTGACACCAATGATGAGGAACTATTCCTTCCACTAACATCAGTGATGAAACTCTACTCCTTCCACTAAAACCAGTAATGGGGCGCTGTTCCTTCCTCCGACACCAATGAGGGGGAACTATTCCTTCCACTGACACCAGTGATGAAACCCTACTCCTTCCACTAACACCAGTAATGGGGCATTATTCCTTCCACCGACACCAATGATGGGGAAATATTTCTTCCACTGACGCCAATGAAGAAACCTTACTCCTTCTACTGACACCAGTAATGGGGCGCTATTCCTTCCATGACACAAATAATGGGGAACTATTCCTTCCACTGACACCAGTGATGAAACCCTACTCCTTCCACTGACACCAGTAATGGGGCACTATTCCTTCCCCAGACACCAATGATGGGGAACTATTCCTCCCACTGACACCAGCGATGGGCCACTGGATCTCCCAAAATGGGGCACTACTCCTTCCACTGACACCAATGATGGGGAAATATTTCTTCCACTGATGCCAATGATGAAACCCTACTCCTTCTACTGACACCAGTAATGGGGCGCTATTCCTTCCATGACACAAATAATGGGGAACTATTCACTTCCACTGACACCAGAGATGAAACCCTACTCCTTCCACTGACACCAGTAATGGGGCACTATTCCTTCCCCAGACACCAATGATGGGGAACTATTCCTCCCACTGACACCAGCGATGGGCCACTGGATCTCCCATAATGGGGCACTACTCCTTCCACTGACACCAATGATGGGACACTATTCCTAACACTGACACCAATTATGGGGCACCATACCTCACACTGACACCAATGATGGGGCATTATTCCTTTCAATGAAACCAATCTTGAAACATTGTCTACCCCCACTGACACCGGGGCATTTTATTTTATTCTCCTACTGGCCATGATCTGTTGATGAGTCTTTTTCCATCATTATATCCACCACTTTTTTCTATTTTCATATCTGTGTAGCATCCACCGTTACTTTCTGCCTATGTAATATGTCCATACTGTGACAGTGTGGCCCTCCTAAAGTCTGATGGATAGTAAACTGGCCCTTTAATTAGAAAGTTTGGAGACCCATGCTGTATACTGTTGATGAGTCTTTTTCCATTCATTATATCCACCACTTTGTCTAGTTTCATATCTGGTCATTTGTCAGAAATAGCAGTCCTCGTTGACTTTCTGCCTATGGTTGGCAATGTAATATGTCTATACTGTAAAATATTTGACAGCATTATCGCCCAACATACCTTCGACTGCATGTGTGTTGTCAATAAAAGAAGAGGCTGGCCACTCCTATACCCTACACCATCATGGCCAACCCTTCTCCACTCTTCCCAACTGACAGTTCTAGTGGGATTGGCTACAGTGCATAGCAGATACCAGAAGTGGCATTCCACCACTGCTTCTCCTTGCCCACAACCTCAACCATAAGCACACTGCAAAACTGAGACAGTGGTCATGTGACCTCCTACAGAGTCATGTAATAAAGCTATTTTGAGGTCACTTTCCTAAGAAATCATTGCTAATAAAAAAAATAACTGTTCCTGCCCAATATATATACATTATAGTAGCCTGGACTTCTGCTGTAAGCAACCCTTGTGGTATTATAGTTTTCCTCCTTTACTGGGCAGCTTGTAATGTGGAAATTACATTTTATTTATCCATTCTGAAAGTTAAAGTGACCCTCTCTATTACCAGTGAAATGTCAAATAAAAGCACATGTTCCTAGAGGCAGATGGCAATGAATATTATAGGCAGAAAACCACCACTTTTCTCTGAAAGCTTCATTGTCCTTGTCATTTCAGTCACTTGTAGTGATTCCACAGCTCTGCCTGCCACTTGCTAACTGCTTCTCATTCCATTCTCTTTAACCACCATGATAGAAATGGCACATGAGTGGCAAAGAGGAAGAGCCTGGGACTGTCACTCACACAATATAAAGGATTCACTGCATAATTGGACTGTAGAAAACCTTTTACTTAAGCTTGTTCACTCATTTGGCTATACTGCAACTCCTCTGAAAAGTGATCTGCGGTGGATCGCTTTTCATGGTATGTTTGACAGGCAGGGAGGAGACAATATGTTGCCTCCTTTCCATCTGCTTTAAAAGAGAAGTATGGGATGACTTTTTTTTAAATTATACTCACCTAAGTGGATGCAAAATCGGTCCGATGCTGTATCTGTCCCCCACCGGCTCTAAGTGTGAGAACTCAGAGATCACATGACTGCTGAGTTCTCACCGCCGCTCTGAGCAGAGAGCAGTGACTGTCAGTGGTGACTGGATCGCTGGGCTGTGGAGGAGGAGGGAGCGGCTGGTTCAGGCTGTCAGCAGCTCGCTAAGAGGCTGAGCTAGGTGCCAGGTTAAAGTCAGGATCTTTTTCCAGCCTGGATCGACTGAGCGATGTCAGGCACGGGCTTCAGCCTGCTGTCAGCTGAAAACGGGTCACAGGAGTGCAGAACAAACTTACTCCTGTGATCCAAAAAGAGCTTTGGCTGTACTTCTCTTTTAATCCTCAAAATGCTGCCCTACCATGTGTGCATTGCATTTGATTGCAGGGTGGATGTGGCACAGAACTGTACAATGGGTGACGTTTGGCAGTGGTACCACTTGCTGAAATTGACATGCTGTTTATTTTTGCTGCGTGGCAAAGCATCATAGCCACAGTATGTGTACAGCCCTGAGCAGCTATGTGACCCAGAGCCATTAGTGTGGGGGGGGGGGGGTAAAAATAGTGTCTCATCTGCCTGTTATTACTCCCTCCCCCCAGCTGCCCAAATGAACTAGCCTTTAATTTATTAAACGTCATAGAATACTGCTCCCACACGTTTTATACTTGCAAGTGCACAAAATCTCTTTGTAAAGCACTTGTAAGCATGTAGCAAGTAAAAAGGCTGTGTCCTGTGCCATTTAATAAATTAAGAAAAAAGTTTTGTACAGTACAGTTGTGTGGTAAATCTGTTATATTCTTAATACTTATCTCCTGGCAAGATGAACCAGACCAGCACGTAGCCATATTGGGTGGGCTTGAGAGTTAAGATCCATCTGGAATGGCTGCATATTGTGTAACTTGAAGAACAGCAATGGTGCCTGTAACTGATTATACTTTCAGATGAACTGTACATAAAGCAATGAAAAACACAGTGCAAGGCAATAAAGCATAAATGGATTTTACTTAGTTTAGAGCAATGATAGTAATCAGCCAAAGAGTTCCACAATGGTCACTCCAGTCTCTGATTTCAAAATTTGAAGATCATGTGCCGGTACAAGCATTTTACCGCAGTACATAAGCAAACTCAATCCAGATCGGTTAAAGCAATATAATCTTCAGTGAAGTGTGCAAACTTTAGGTCTCTTCAAAATCAAATTAACTTTTTTGTACGAATGAATCTTTAATGAAATTGGTAAAAGACATCAAAGTGGGGAAAAATGTTAAATGTCCTTGTTTTCTCATTTTTTCTGTAAATCAGATTATTTCCCCAATCTAGTTTTGAAGAAAAACTTAATTATTTCTGTAAATAGGTTTGTTAGTATGCATTTTTTCATTTGAAAATAAATAAATCTATGAAACTGCATTTGTTGAAATTAGATAAGGTCTTTGAAGAATTTCTTATTTGTTTTTATGCTTTTTTTTCCCTGCAGAGAATTTTGTTTGTTTAAATGAAAACTATATAGGTTCTGGATCAATGTTATAGAATTTGTTTTGTAAGCTTTTAAACTCTTTAGATAGATAGATAGATAGATAGATAGATAGATAGATAGACAGACAGTATATGGTTGATTTTTGCAGATAGTTTTTCTTTTGCAAATATACATTATTACATTTACTACATGACAAAGGCTTCCCAGAGCACCGTGGCTTATCTAAAGAGACATCATAGCTGAGTTGAGGCTTGGTTTGTCTGATTGAAACTTTGTACTGAGTAGTTGATGGGCCACTGCAATGAGTCAATATATGTAAATATGTGTAAATTTGTAGCAATCTGTAAACAACAAGTCAGCACAACAAGTGCCAAAGTGCTGTTTGCAGCCCCCAGGCCTCAGGGCTGGCGCTACTGTATCAGATCAGTACTTTTCTTTTATTTCTGCTATATAAGGACTGTCATCTTCCTAGGGTCTCAGAACAATTACATATATCACCCATCAACAAAGAAAAATAGCAAATTAATATTTGGGATCTCAACTATACATGCTCTTGAACAGTGGCTCCCAAACCTTTGTGAGACCAGCGCCTGGTAAATTTTCTTTGAAAAGTTCCCATACTCCAACAGAAAAAAAAAGCTGATATTCATAGATTTTAGGACTTTTAGAGATATGATTATGTAGATAGATAGCATAGTATTGTTTTATCAATAACACACCAAGACTATATGTTTATTTTCTTTACATAGTTGGGAACAAAGCCTTCCTCTTTTAAGAAATCCTACAAGAGAGAAATATGGATGGACTGTGGAATTCATGCAAGAGAATGGATTGGACCAGCTTTTTGCCAGTGGTTTGTAAAGGAGGTGATGTATAAATTAATTTTTATTACAAACACACAGGGCTGTCTTAATACATTGACACCCCTGGGCACCACCCAGGGGTCCCAGGTGCATGAGGACCTCATGAAAACCTTGCATTAAATCATACTTGCTAACTGTCCCAGATTTGCCAGGACAGTCATGCTTTTTGCTAAGCTGTCCTGGGATGGCCTGGGCAGTGTCCCAGAACCTGTATTGTGCTCCCCTGATCCCTCCTGACTCCACCTGTACTGTGTCCTTTGTGTTGATTAATCTTTGATTTATGGCATGTTTTCTTATTGTTTAAAATCAATTTTATTGAAAGTACTAATAAATATATGTCAACTATTTATATTTTAATTCTTAAAATTGGGACAGGCTGGTAGGGGCCCCAGTGCATTACTTTACCCAGGGGCCATGATACTATTAAGATGGCCCTGCAAACACATACTAAACATTCTACTGTTATTTAAAATGAAAAGGCACACTGCATTCAGTATAAATATTCTGCATTTGAATGGAGCAGAAACTACCTAACTAATGAATGGATCTAAGTTTCACCCTGGCATTCATCTTTTGTGCATTGCTACCCCTCTAGCAAACAGAAAGGTTTGTTCTTACCTTTAATACAGGAAGCTCTGCACAGAAGCAAAGTTTCACACACGATTACTGCACAGATATGGAAGAAATAGACAAAACACACCAAGATTTAGGAAAGAATACACGTGATTTTTGAATTTGGACAATATTTACTTATCCTGGAGTTCAGCTTTAATAATATCGTCATATATTTACAGATTGAGTGTTTGTTCCCTGAAATTGGTCTTTAATGTATTTTAGATTAATTACAATGGTAACTATATTTTCTGGTAATATATTTGAAATTCCTTACACAGGCCATTAACACCTATAAGAGTGATCGTGTTATGAAGAAAATTCTTGACTTTCTCTACATATATGTGATGCCGGTGTTAAACCCTGATGGGTATCACTACAGCTGGACCCACGTATGTATCCATAATACTGTGAGCTGCCTAACATGTGTTCTTAGGTTGTCTTAAAGGGAACCTGAGAGTATGGAAATTTGAAAACTGCTATTGCAGACTTTGGTGCTCCCAGTATTTGCTTTCATTACCTAGTAAGCCACTGACCTGGAAAAAGCATGCAGTATAAGAATTTAGATTTCTTGGCTACATATTTAATCCATGTCAGTAATTCACCAGCAATGAAGCCAGGATTAGGATGACAGCACACTATTCTGCACCTTTAGAAGTAAATAAGCAATGACAGCTCCTATATTTCTATCTTCACAGTTTTGCTTTAGAGCAAAATTCCTTTTTTTAAGTTTAGGATACAGTGAAGAAGGGTTTGCTCCCCTTTAGGGCTTTATTCCTTTCCACAGCCTTAATGTGAGATCTCTTCTTATACCTTGTCCTATAGTGGCAATCAGACCTTCATTGTAAACTGAACCTACTGGTTCCTGTCCCTGCTAATTCCCTATATTCATATGGAGAATCCAATGACGGCTGGTGATAGCAGAGTAATGGTGTCAATGGCCTGGTGCTCTTTGCATAGGAACATAGGAATGAATAGAGAACCTCATATCAAGGCCTCGAATATCAATAAAGAACTGAGATGAACTGAAACATGGCTTTACATCATTCAGAAATGAAAATATTTTTTTTTTGTAGAGTACTAATTTGATATATCAGCCATTTACCATTTAAGCTATAATATGTATTTTTGTTTTTTTTGCATGTGACCTGACACCAAATATAAAGTATACATACCTTATTTCCAAGTGTCTTCTAGCCAGGCATGTGACAAGCAGATCCATTCATCTTTCCTCCAACACCAGTGGTTTGTGGTCCTCAATGCCGAATTGAGATGTATGAGCTCTGTTTTATGCAGAATTCTACTGTAAGCCTATGTTGCATGGTACACCTCAAGGGTATTCTAGGGGATATGTCCACTATAGCCTTAAGCTGGGTATACACTGAGAGGTTTTTTTTTTTTTTTCATTCTACCAGTGAGTGGAATGAAACAAAAACTGACAGAGTCCTGCATCTCCCCCAGTTGGCTGCATGTGCTGATTGAATGCTGGTTTTCCAGCAGGGCTGTTCAACAGAAGCTGGTCTAAAGATTGTCTTCTGTTGATTTGGGGGACATCTATCCAAAGGATCCATGGGTATGTCTTTTCTATAGAACAGAGTTGTCGGTAAAGCAATATAAAAACAGTTTATTATATCATATGATTAGTGCGGCAAAAGGTTTAATTCCTAGGTTTTGGAAGGCCCAGGATCCACCGACAATGAGGGATTGGATAGACAGAGTAGAATATGTTAGTAGGATGGAGGAACTTTGTTACATGGAGAAAGATGAAATGGAAAAGTTTTGAAAAATTTGGGATAAATGGTATGAGTTTAGAACTTCAGAAAAATACTTAAAAATGAAAGGTCCCCTGATAGTAGGACCAGAGAATTTCAATGGTTAACGAGATCTATATATATATGACTAGATTAATAGGAGGGGAAAGAGAGGATAAGATGAGACTGGACAGGGAAAGGTTGGGGTGGGTATGGGGATAAAGTTTATATGTATGATGTAAAAAGATTTATGATGGTTTTGTAAGGTATTTTTTTTGTTTTCCTAAAAGAAAATTTAATAAAAGAAATAATATAAAAAAAATAAAGATGGTCTTCTGTTGAACAGAGAGCGATACACACACACATCTAAATTCAGCCAGTTCCAGCTGAACCGGCCAAATAGCTACATGTACATGGCGCACTTTCACCTTTCAGTGATAACAGTCACCAGGACAAGAAGACAGGGTGAACCTCCCTAACAGGGTACAGATAGTGGTGAAAACCTGACAATTCCTCTAATCCCTCTCCACGCTATCTAAAACTAATAAAAGGTTCAGGGGCGGACTGACAACTCATGGGTACACCGGGCAATAAGGGATCATGGGGCCCCTGTGTCCTTGCCCAAACTCAAAAAAGCCTATGAAAAAGGTACCAGGGGCATCTCATGGGGCCCCTTACTGACCCCGGGCCCTCGGGCAGTGCCCGAGTTTCCAAATGGTCAGTCCGCCCCTGAAAAGGTTTTATCTTCAATCAGATTTTAATGGACACTTGATACCAATATGGAGTAAACTGATAAAGTTGCAAATCAACTAAAGAAGCATGTTTGATCACTGACCTGACAATACAACAGAACTGAAAAAAGATTTATTATTTATTTACTACAGGTACTTATATAGCGCCATTATTTACACAGCCCTTTACATATATATCTTACATTCACATTAGTCCCTAACCCTCAAGGGGTGTACAAACTAAACTCCCTAACTCACATTCGTACATACACATACTAGGGCCAATTTAGACAGGATCCAATTAACCTACCAGCATGCCTTTGGAGTTTGGGAGTAAACTCGAGTACCCGGAGGAAACCCACGCAGGCACAGGGAGAACATGCAAACTCCAGGATGCTGGTGTAAGATCTGCACTATCTTACCTCCTTACATTAATGCAATGGGTAACTGCCAAGTTAATCAAAATTGTCCATGTTACATGTTATGTTTCATTGCTAAATGTATCAGTTATTCTATAATATATTTATACCAAACAAACATTATACCAAACAAGCATTATTAGATATGATCCTTCAAAGGTCCCGGCCCAGACGAGGAATGACATCACTATGCAGAGTCTGTGACACCTTGGTTGGTAATGCACATTGGGAGCTACCACACAGTTTTTTTGGCAGGTGGGGATTGCTTGAAGACTCAAAATCATAAGGAAGGTCATTGAAAGCTTTGACAAGCATAAAAATAACCTGCTAATGCCCCCAGATAAGCCAGTGGGAGACAGGAGAGATGGTAGTATGGTCTAATCACAGATTTGGCTGTTCCCCCTGCTTTAGACAGTTACAGCTGCCACAATATGAAATGCTGATGAGTATTGCCTCACACTTGTCAAGATTTGTGTATCATGTGCATTATCAGCTTAATTACATGAGAAATCTGACAGTGCCCATAATTGGACTGCTATGCCAATGCGGTAAAAAGAATTCCCCCATGCCAACAATGAAAATATGTATTTTTAGCTCTGAATCCCTTTTTTAAGTCATTTATTTATCCTCTATGTATTGCCACCAATTATCACTCATTACTTTTAACTGACGTTGTCACCATGCCAGATACCAGCCCCGGGAGTTACTGCTGTAAGCTTCATTAACTCTATAAATGAGGTCAATTCTGCTAAAATTTATTACCATAGAGCTTCTCTGCGTTCATGAGATGCTGGTACTAATACTGTGGTTCATGTTTGCATTGTGTGATAAATACTGTATATGCTGTAGTCTCACAGTGCCAAATACATTTAAAGTAGATAAAAACCCAATCATTAAAAACTCACGTAAGCTTTAATATGTTAATGCAGTTTCAAAAGTCATTTCAGTCTTTTCAAATCTGCAGCTTTCATTAAAATAATAGCTGGGATCCTGCCATGAAGGTCTTTCTTTAGGCACTTCCTGTTACAGAGTGACAACACTCTGTCTTCCAGTTGCTGTTCTGCATTTGCACATGTTCGTAGAGAAGACTATAGGCAGCCATATTGATAGCACAGACATGTTCTGCTCTTGTCACCATTAAGGAGCCCATTCTGAGCATTGTCATCCGGCCACCGCTGGAGCAAGTAAGTGAAGGCATGACTGTAGAGAGACTACAGTAGATTAACAGCACAGAGATGCAAAAAGAAAACGGGAAAAGGTCCAAACAGTACTTTGTGAAACAATAAATGACAATTGTTTATAATACACAGTGCTTGTAAATGCAATGTAAATGCCATCCAGTTAAGGGTTAACATCTCTCTACACCTTAATGAATTCTCTACATTAAGGTAAAAAAAACCCTTCCAATAGCAAGGCCCTCCTCCTCCTCCAACCGAGTCCTTTCTCAATCCAGTGCTGTGGCCATCTGCAGCATTACTGCTCTTTCTTCCTGTATGCACAGGAGACTCTGAAAGCAATGGGAGCCATTGGGTTCTGCTGCTGTCAGTCAAATCTTGTGGGGAGGGAGAGGCGCATGGTCAAGCTACGCTGTGTGTGTCTATAGATGCACACAGTCTGGTGCAATGGGGGCACTTGGAGAAGAGAGGGAGGGTACAGCGCCAGCGGAGAAACAATAAATGATGATTGCTCTTTAGTTGATATGGGTTAATGCACATATCTAATGCTAATATGCTGCAGGCAGAGGCTGCAAACCACAACAATGTTGTCAACACTGGTGGATAGCACTGGTCTGTTTCTGTGGGGCAGTGCCACTCGATGGATCAGGTGGCTACTCCCTTCAGTCATCTGCAAGCTACTGTTGCCCCTCTTCTCCTCTTCTCCAAGCAACTAGTATTTTAGAAAATGGGCAATAGTTGCACTTTTATTGTATATACCTTTTTTTTAAGACAAGGCCGTGTAAATGAAATAGTGTGTCAGACTCATGGCTAGCCTGTTACACTTTGCTGGTTACAAAGTATTTTACTACAATTTGTTTTTATATTTTGTTAGGATCGTTTCTGGAGAAAGACAAGATCAAAAATGAAATTGAATTGCTATGGTGTTGATCCAAATAGAAATTGGAAAGTCAAATTTTGTGGTAAGAGTGAAAGTTAGAAAATATTGTTATTATTATTAAATTAATATTATTAATATTTGAAAATAAAAACAGCTGCAGAAAGGAAAAATCTAAATGTTATGGCTGAATTATTTAATGCATTTGGTGAGTGTACAACCATTTTTTACCCTGCTATCCAAAATAAAGTTCTAGTTGCCAACATAATAAGGTCTTTAATAAGGCTTACCTGTAGGTACTGTAAATACTGTATCTCCTAAACGTGCATTGATTAGGAGAAATTTACTGTGGCAGTTGATGCCACCTGCGCATGCGCAGAGAGACGTGCCAAACTACCGCACACATGCACAGGAGTGATGTTGACCAGTCAAATGGCCACTGCCCGCAAACCCGAAAGGAAGACCAGGTGAAGATGGAAGCCTTGGGCAGTGCTCCACTGAAAGGCTTTGTTTTCAGGTGAGTCTTTCTTAGTGTGCTAGTATGCAATGCACACTAGCACATTATGCTCCTATGTTGCAGGGAGAATTTTTTTAGAATTTTTTTTTCGTTGCAGGTTTACTACCGCTTTATGGTAGATCTATAGGCAAAACTTTTTTTCATCTTGAATAGAATAAGGGAGGCTTATAACCCCTATTTTGTGCCATCTGTTTCACATTGCAGAGATTTACATTCACTCCCTGTCCCATAGCCTGCAATTTAATGAAAATCCTTGGGGCCCCCAGATCTCCAGAACTAGTGTCCTTATTGGAAGATTTCCCCTCTATTCCTTTTCTGGGGACAGCATAAAATTTGGAATTTTCTTTTACTTCCACTTTAAATGAGAATGATAAACAGGACAAATAGAGAGACTGAATCTCCCTAATGTGGGCACAGACAGCGATAAAAATCTAATAGATATATTCTAATACCTCTCCACTCTATGCAAAACTAAAAAAAAAAGCAAAGTTTGATCTTTGAATTTAAGGACTTATGTCTAATAATATTTTATTTTTTCGTAGTGTATCATCGTTTAATTTATACAGTGTATTTATTTGCAAAATGATTAGATTCTGTCCTTATTCACAAGTCTGTTATACTTATTCATATATGCATTGCAGTAAACGGAGTGTTTCTTCTTTTGATATCATAGAGGAAGGGGCATCTCTTAATCCATGTGACAGCACTTACTGTGGACCATATGCAGAGTCTGAACCAGAAGTTAAAGCAGTTGCCCAATTTATCCATAAAAGAAGAAAATATATCAAAATCTACATGACATTTCATGCATATGCTCAAATGGTACTCTATCCTTATTCCTATCAGTATGAAACAATTCCAAATTTCAAGTGTGTGGTAAGTTACTCTGAGAAGCCTACCATCTGAATTATCATATGTAATAAAATTGCTTAATATGATAAATTAGGATGTGTGCAAATCCACCCTGTCTATCCACCCTTCAGTTCTCCAGAAAACAGTGCTTGAGACCATGAGAGATGAGAGACGCTGCTTATGTCAGCAATGAAATAGAAGGTTGGTCAACCCAATAACTGTTAGGAAGTCTATGCCTCATGCAATACTGTAGGTATGAGCACATGTGCACCTATATACTCTCTCCTGTGTATGAACCCCAGCAAAAAGAACCTGTTCAGCTGGTAAAGCATAACAAACCCATACTAAAGCAGAACCAAAGGCAAGAATACTCACATAGGCTCCAACAGTCTGATGCACACAAGGTCCCTCTCCAACGCTGGCATCTTCTCCCCAGCTTCTTCCAGGTGCTGTCATTCATTCGTCTTGATTGGCTGGTGGGGAATAACATTCCTCCCGTTCATACAAGGCATTCATTCATCCCACAACTGGATACAAAGAAAACAAACAGAGGGTGCACTGGCCTAGTGCATTACCTTAAATAACATTTATTGATAAAAATGTGATAGGTAATATACTCACAAAAGATGAATTAATCAAAAGCTCATCAAAAAGAACAGCACTGTCCAGTCCACATAGTATGGCTATCCACATAGGAACCCTGGACCTCCAACAACTAACGCGTTTCAAGGACTTGCCTCTTCAACAACAAAAAATAGTACAAACAATGCCTGTACCCTCTTTTAAATGATCTGGTATCAAGTCCAGATACTGCATGTGGGCCGTCAATAGCTTGCCCGAAGGTGGGGACAAAATCCATATGTGCTTCCCTTCCCAAAAAAATAGAATGAACTGAACAAAACTAATCTATCAGAATTGCTGAGTACGTAGGAAATCCTAATAATCTATTAAAAACTTAAACATTCATAAAAATCCATAAAAAGCATATATGTAACTTGTATAGTATATATTTTATATAATATTATACCATGTAAACTCATGTCCCACGATCCATATGTGCTGGCAACAATTGCTTGCAAACTGTGTGAATATAAAATTTACAGTTTACAAGCAGCGATGAATGTTGCACAAACAGATATGTATGAGAAGATAGGGTAAAAACCTATTACAGTGTACTCTCTCTTATTATTGTGGATTTTAGCATACTAGTTCCTCATGGCTCTGATGTGAATGTGCAGGTGGTAAGCTGGAACACACGCCAGCCCTTCAAAAGCTGGAAGTGGGACTGCCGTGCGTCCCACACAGACATGTATATTCTGCTGGAATGCATATCAGCACAGGACATCCGCCAGACAGTATGCCGGCACCCCCTATCTGGGAGTGTGGCCACGGAGTGAGCTCCCACCCAGTAAAAGGAAGTCAGCTGACCACATTGCCTAGCTGACTGGGAGTAGCAACCCCTAATGGATGGAGGAGCTTGGTTCCACGGCCCAGAAGGCAATCATACAAACCATACAAACGCAGCCTCCACCCTGAATAAACTGTAGGCACCAGGCTGTGACAGCTTGCAGCTTCACAGTCTGGTGCCCACTGCGCATGTGCTAGTCGCGCCACGCGCTCCTGATTGGTCCAGCAGTCTCCTGGGACCTGTGAAAGCTCCTAGGAGACTGCGGGAGGAAGGAGGGGGCTGAACTTCTGGGTCACTTCGCCACGGCGAACTGACCCGGAAGTGGGAAGTGTCAATACCAGGTACCCGCTTCCCCCCAAAAGGTGCCAAATATGGCAGTGGAGGGTAGAGGAGACAAATTATCGGAGCTTCCACTTTTGAGTGGAACTCCACTTTAAGGTAAACATACAACATCGTTAGTTTTAATAAACTGAGTGCTGAAGTTGCATTTTTTCATAGTGGTTTATCTATCTACCAAATTCTGAGATTAATAAACCATTTTTCATGTCTTTACCACACTATATCCCATTTATGAATTGCATTTGTTTATTTTTTTTTAATCCTTGTGTCTAGTCATGTGAATATTGTCAAGTTGATTAATACCCACTACGTCTGAATCACTGCAATGTAGTCTACAATGACATGCAGTAGCTGTTAATAAACTGCGCTGTAAATATTATTTGTTGATGAAGTACTTTAAGTTTCCTTATCTATTTGTGTATTAGGCGTTTAGTCTTCTGCTTCATTGATCGTAGCTTGATCTCTGTTTATATTGATCCCATAAACACGACTGTAAACTTGATCAATATGGCATTGTGCACGAAGAGCTAGTACTTTGCTCGAAACTCTTCATAGCCAATTGTCCATGAAAAATCAGGAACTGACCAGGAAAGTGGGTGGCTATGATCCTTGGTCATCTTGTGATTCACTATTCTTTTTTCCCCACATTGTTTCTTGTCTGATTAAATAGCAGAGCATAAAAGTTAAAGTGATTAAAAAGTCAGAACAGTCCCTATATTAAGATAAAAATGTCCTACAATTTTTTCTGTCTCCCCATCGTCCCCAAACACTTAACTGTCACCTCTCACTTTCCTGTGCTGATCTTGGCTGCAGTGTTGCTGTCTCTTCCAGAATTCCCAATATACACTGAGAGCAACGGGAGCCACAGGCATGCCAATTGCAGGCTATACACTGCACCTGGGCTGTCTGGGAGAAGGAAATATGCCAACAATCACAATGGACAAATCCAGCTGGTCTGTGTGCAAGAGCCCTAAATGAAATATATTACTGGTGAAAAGTTTTAGAACACCCAAATTTTTCCTTTTTTTTTTTTTAATTTAAACAATTAAAGTCCAGTGAATAACCTGGAATGGTACAAAGGTAAGGTGGAAACTGCCAAAGGTAAAAAAAAAAAGTTTAGGTTAACAAAAATGAAAAAATAATGTACTTTTCGGAGTTCTACAAACAGGCCATTTTCAGCGAAGAAGTAATAGGTCAACCACTCACAGTTGTTCTGCAGCAATGTAAGTGAATGAGGCCTTCAGCCCTGGTCCACACCAGTGCGGCTTTGAAATCATGCTACTTCGTACAACTTCAAAGCTGACTATTCAGTGCGACTTCATTGCAGCTTGCTGATATTCTGTTTGACTTCACTTAACAGACGTCAATGCAAGTTGCACCAAAATAGTGCAGGAACCTTTTTCAATGTTGCTGCGACTTGAGTTCCACTGATCTGAACGGTCTTATTGTCACTAATGGGGTGTGATTTGTCATGTGACTTTGAACTCTCAAGTCACATGACAAGTTGTGCTGATGTGAACCAGGGTTTAACGTTTATGCTAACAAGTGTTACAGGTGTCCCAACTTTTGTCAATTACTTATTATATATTACAGGTACTTATATAGAGCCATCAATTTATGCAGTGCTTTACATATATATTGTACATTCACATCAGTCCCTAACCCTCAAGAGGCGTACAATCTTAGGTCCCTAGCTTACATTCATATATACACATACTAGGGCCAATTTAGACAGGATCCAATTAACCTACCAGCATGTCTTTGGAGTGTGGGAGGAAACCAGAGTACCTGGAGGAATCTCACGTAGGCACAGGGAGAACATGCAAACTTTAGGGAGGTGGTGCTGTGGTTGGGATTTGAACCAATGACCAGGTGGAAGTGCTAACCATTTAGCCACTGTGCTGCCCTCTGTCTGCATAAAAGCAGTGTTGAAATAGACTGTAGCACTATACCCTCTTAGGCAATATTTGGACAGTATTGTATTGCAGGAAGTAGTAAATTGCTCTCAAAATGGTGGGAAAAAGGCAACTGACAAAGGAAGACAGACCAACCATTTTAACCATTAAAAGTGCAGATCTTTTCTTTAGAGAAATTGCAAAGAAAGCCAAGGTGTCAGTGCTTACAGTTTCCTGCACTGCAGGGGCGGACTGACAGCTCATGGGGCCCCTATATCCTTGCCCAAACTCAAAAAAGCCTATGAAAAAGGTACCAGGGGCATCTCATGGGGCCCCCTACTGACCCCGGGCCCTCAGGCAGTGCCCGAGTTTCCAAATGGTCAGTCCGCCCCTGCTGCACTGTCAAAAGGGTCTTTGAAACTGGAGGAAACTGACAGGAGGAGGTCTAGTAGACCAAACCCACAACAGAATCAAAAGACAAGTTTCTGAGAGTCAACAGCTTTTGTGACAGGTGACTCACAAGACAATAGCTTCAAGCCCAGCTTAACACTGATCAAAGTAAGCAAGTCTCAGTTTCAAGTGCAAAGAGAAAACTTTGAGCTACGGGTTTGACAGATTGAGTGGCTGTAAGAATGCCAAAGCTAAGATGGCAAAATAAGAAAAAGATCCTTGCCTGGGCCATGAAGCACAGGCAGTGGATTACTGAAGACTGGATGATGGTCTTATTGACTGATGAATAAACGTTTGAGACCTGCTGTGCTGTTCTACTAATGATTAGCTGACAGCTAGCTAAAAAAAAAACTGACAGAAGCAGCACTGTGTTTCATTGCAAAACTAAATTTACTACTGTGAATATTTCTGTAAAACTGCACTACAATCACATAAACTGAAATTAAAATATGCTTGTATATATGTCTCTCACAAATGCCTACAATGAGCACATATGTTACAAACAGCTACTTAAAAGTCACATTGAATACAAAGAAATGTGATCTAGCTATGTATATGACTTTAACAAACACAACAAAAGAACTTACAGGCATATGTGTATCAAAAGGAGAATGGAGGAGACCTTCACTGGTGTTCTTCTAAAAGCTGAAAAGGCTGCAGTGGTTTATGGGAAATCTTTATTCTTAACAAACGTGAAACACTTTCTGCTCTTGTTGAAGGGAATAATAAGACAGGTGCAGTTGCAGTCAACACCTATTTGATGGAGCCCTACTCAATCATGCAGGGTTTTTGTACGCTGTTGAGTAGGTAAAAAGATGGATTCTCGGTGTGTGACATCAAGGGGTTTATTTACTAAAGCTGGAAAGTGCAAAACCAGGCTTCTGCATAGAAAGCAATAAACTCCTAACCTTAGCTTGTTTAATAAAGCTTTGCCAATAAAACCTGGAAGCTGATTGGTTTCTATGCAGAGGTGAGCCTGATTTGCACTGTCTATCTGTATTAAATAAACCTCCAACTGTCATACATGGAGGAGGAAGTGTGATGGTCTTGAAATCTTTTGCTGGATCCAGAGTCAGTGACTTGAACAGAGTGAGTGGTACCCTGAAACAAATCTACTACCACAACATTTTGCAGCACCATACAATACCCCCTGGAATACACCTACTTGGTCAGGGTTCATCCTACAGCAAGATAATGACCCAAAACATCTCTACAGGCTTTGGCACAACTACCTTAGAAAAAAGAACAAGTTGGTAGGCTTCAAATCATGGACTGGCCAGCAGAGTCTCTAGATGTAAACCCTGTTGAGCTGTTTTTTATGAACTGGACAGAAGGGTGAAAGCAAAGCAACCTGCAGTACATTTGTGGGAACTTTTGCAACAGTGTTGGGAAGAACTTTCTGAACAATATTTGATTTCCATTGTAGAAAAAAGGCCACAAGTGTGTTCTACTGTTGTATCTGCAGAAGGTGGTTACTTTGATGAGTCAAAAATGTAGATTACATATTGTTAAAGAAAATGATTCCATGATTTCTTGTGCTGAGTGATGTCAATTTGTGTATTTGTTCTATGCTTTATTTTCAGAGTACATTAGGACATTAAACTGTGTAAATTTCAATAAACGCTGGAGAAATGGAGGTGTTCTACAACTTTTGACTGATAGTGCAACTCAAAGTGGAACAAAAGGGAGCTTTACTTACCTTTACTTCAATGGTACTTGTCCTTTATGGGCACCAGCATCTTGTTATGTGTGCTGGTCTTCAGCAGCCTTCATTGCGGGATGACGTCACTCCTGGCATGGGCAGCTTAGCTTACATGCTGGAGATGCTGAGAATAGGCAGGTAGGTGTATTTTATTACAGAAGAGACATTGAATGTTTCTTTTGCAATAAAGAGCCTGTCTGCTTGCATGTAATCACAACAGGACTTTCGTTATATTTTCCCTGCAACTTTTTGTTTTCAAACTCCATGTGCTGTGCCTGTACAGCTCTTCCCTTGGCCAGTTCCACTTTGTGCATGTCTCTCTTCAATGACGTGGACATCCCATGATGCCTTGCACTGTTGAGGTCCCACGCACTGATTGTGCTTGCATGCTATATTTCTTTATTATAGGTACTTACACTGCACTTTATATACTGTATATTCCCACATCAGTTCCTGCCCTCACAAAGCTTACACCCTAAGGTCCCTAACTCACATTACACATACTAGACCATATCCAATAACCTACCAGCATTTCTTTGAAGTGTGGGATGAAACCGAAGTATCTGAAGGAAACCCATGCAGGCACAGGGAGAACATGCAGACTCCAGGCAGGTAGTGGCATGGCTGGGATTCAAAGTGATGACCCAAGTGCTGCTAGAGGAAGTGCTAACCACTTAGCCACTGTGCTGCCCATATCAGCAAATCATCATGGAGTCCACGGGTAGTCTACTAGGGAGACAACACTGCCTGTTTAGGGAGCCACTGAGGGAGCTTTGCCACCCTAGTACAGGAAAATTGGGAAATGGCAGAATTACAAGGTAAAAAAATGCTAACTGAATAGATTAAAAAGCATAAAATAGAATGGCACTGCTGGAAGGAGCTAAGCTCATATTTTATGAGTTTTTATTTTTAGGTTTTGGTATAAATGTTAAAAACTTGTGTCTCTCCAAAATCCCAATACAATTATGCCAGTACATTAACATAGATGCTGTACAGCTGGTGACTGCTTATTTTGCATCCATTGGTTACTAAAAGCCTGAGGATAATTGCCAGAACATTAATGTTTGCATCACCTATCTATTGAGTGTTAACTTTCTACACTCACTGCTTGGATAAAAGGAAACCTATACTGAGCGGAGTACAGTTGCTATCCTTGTTAACTTCTGAAAATGCTAGTTTCCTCGCTGCATGCTAAAAGAATGGCTTCAGTATTTTCTGAGTAACAAACCTGGAAAAAGTATGCATAGCAGAAAAAAAAGAGGTTAACGATGGTTGCCCTCCTCTAAATTTCTTTAAGTGCAGTTTTCCTTTGTAGCGTTCACCCCCGAAGGAGTATGGAGTCCCCCTATATCCTGAGTCAGTAACCAGTCCTTGAGCTTGTTTTTTTGTTGTTTTATATGGGGGATAAGGGTAAATGGGATGCCCAACTTGACTTGCAGTAATATCTCTGAGGAAACATTTCCTAATTCTGTACAAAAAAGTAGTTCCTGAACTTTTCTACTCCAGCCAGAGTGGCCCAGTCTCTTAATGAATCAATGTCTCTGTGAAATCTCTTCAGACCCCAGCTAGGAAATGCCCATCCACCTGGCAGTCTTTTGGAGCATATCCTGGAGCAAGAGATTCCAAGACAGGCATGTAGCATTGTCCCAGGGAGATCTGGTTAAGTATTGCACCTAGCAGCCCTCTCTCCTGTAAGCCCCAGAGGTGCAGAGGTACTCACTCTGTCCTTGGATCCTGTAGCTCTGGGTAAAACTGCATTCAGGCCTTTCATTGAGCCAGTTCCTGTCCCCGCTTGCAGCTGTCCTTCTCCGGTGGACTGTAAGGCAGTGGAGCTGCTTCTGTCAGCTTCCTTGCCTTTCCTCCAGCCTTCATCTTGGAGGTAGAATCCCCCTTGTCTGAGGTCCGCTCTGAGGCTACACAGCAGCACCTTCAGTAGTCCATCTTCCACCCAACTCCAGACCCCTGCTGAGATGGCTCCTTATATCCAGGGGCAGTCTGCCACACTACCAGAACCTCCAGCCTGGGATTGGTCAGGCTCCCATGAATATGCAGATCCTGGTCTCCACCCCTCTGCTCACTAGCTTCTGGAAGCTTCCTTTGGTCTCCAGAACCAGGTGGAGGCGATAGAGGCCCAACCTTCTGAGTCATCCAGCCGAACCTGAGCTGACCTGGACTTGACCCTTAGTTAGACATGCTCACTCCAACTACTTAAGCCAATGCATTTTCCTAACTCTCTAGCATCACTAGCAGGTGCTACACCTTTAAAGCCCAACTCCAAGAATTAGTAAAAATCTACCCTAGCAGTGCATGAGTGGGGTTGGTAAATGCTTGTTATAGTTGGACTTTAAAGGAAAGCTGTCATAAAAGAAACAGGATGACTGCCACCAATTAGTTCTTTCCTCTTCTTATCAACCCAGGCTTAAAATACATGGTTATTTGCCATGGTGCCCATGTTACATTTATTTTGCCTGTTTAATTTCAGGGAAAAGTGACCAGTACTGTAATGAATTTTTGTGAATGTGTGTGTGCATATGTGAAGTTTGTCTTATTAATAATTCTGTTTCTGTTTAAAACAGGAATCAGCTGCACAAAAAGCTGTCCAGGCTATAAACTCAGCTTATGGTGTAAGGTATAGACATGGTCCAGCAGCATCTACTTTATGTGAGTATTTTCTGGTAATAAACTGTGGCCTTCTATAAATGGAGTGATTATCTATAATACACTGCTCAAAAAAATTAAAGGAACACTTTGAAAACACATCAGATCTCAATGGGGAAAAATATCATGCTGGATATTACTGATATGGACCGGGTAATGTGTTAGGAACATAGGGATGCCCCATCGTTTTATGGAAATTAAAATTATCAACCTACAAAGGACTAAATTCAAAGACACCCCATAAATCATAGCTAGTCCATTTCGCTGAAATTTCATTGCAGCAACTCAAAATGGTACTCAGTAGCTTGTATGGTCCCCATGTGCTTGTATGCATGCCTGACAACATCGAGGCTTCCTCCTAATGAGACAACGGATGGTGTCCTGGGGTATTTCCTCCCAGATCTGGACCAGGGCATCACTGAGCTCCTTGACAGTCTGAGGTGCAACATGGCAGCATCGGATAGACCAAAACATGATATCCCAGAGGTGTTCTATTGGATGTAGGTCAGACGAGCATTGGGGCCATTCAATGGTATCAATTCCTTCATCCTTCAGGAACTGCCTGCATGCTCTCGCCACATGAGGCCGGGAATTGTCATGCACCAGGAGGAACCCAGGACCCAATGCACCAGCTTAAGGTCTGACAGTGGGTCCAAGGATTTCATCCCCATACCTAATAGTAGTCAGAGTACCATTGTCTAGCCTGTAGAGGTCTGTGCATCCCTCCATGGATATGCCTCTCCAGACCATCACTGACCCACCACCAAAACGGTCATGCTGAATGATGTTACAGGCAGCATACCATTTCCCACAGCTTCTCTAGACCCTTTCACGTCTGTCACATGTGCTTAGGATGAACCTGCTCTCATCTGTGAAAAGCACAAGGCGCCAGTGGCAGACCTGCCAATTCTGGTGTTCAATGGCAAATGCCAGTCGAGCTCTATGGTGTCGGGCAGTGAGCACAGGGCCCTCAAGTCACCCTCATGAAGTCTGTTTCTGATTGTTTGGTCAGAGACATTCACACTAGTGGCGTGCTGGAGGTAATTTTGTAGGGCTCTGGCAGTGCTCATCCCGTTCTTCCTTGTACAAAAGGAGCTGATACCGGTCCTGCTGATGGGTTAAGGACCTTCTACGGCCCTGCCCAGCTCTACTAGAGTAACTGCCTGTCTCCTGGAATCTCCCCCATGCTCTTGAGACTGTGCTGGGAGACACAGAAAACCTTCTGGCAATGACACGTATTGATGTGCAAAGCTGGAGGAGTTGGACTACCTGTGCAACCTCTATAGGGTCCAGGTATCACCTCATGCTACCAGTAGTGATACTAACCCTAGCTAAATGCAAAACTAGTGAAAAACAGTCAGAAAAGATGAGTAGGGAAAAAAAGTCAGTGGCTTCCACCTGTAAAACCATTCCTGTTTTGGGGATCGTCTCATTGTTGCCCATCTAGTGCACCTGTTATGAATTTCATTAACACCAACGCAGCTGAAACTGATTAACAACCCCCTCTGCTACTTAAAGCGGAGTTCAACTCAAAAGCGGAAGCTACGCTTATTTGCCTCCTCCCCCCCCTCCATTGCCATATTTGGCACCTTTTGGGGGGAGCGGGTACCTGCTTTTCACAGGTACCCGCTCCCACTTCTGGCTCAGTTCGCCGTGGTGAATTGAACTGGAAGTTCGGCCCTCTCCTCTCTCCCACAGTCTCCTGGGAACTTTCACAGGTCCCAGGAGACTGCAGGACCAATTAGGAGGTGCAGCGCGACTCAGGCATGCGTAGTGGGCACCAGACTGTGAAGTCGCAAGCTGTCACAGCCTGGTGCCCACAGTTGAGGTGCCATGGAGGAGAGAAGGGGAGAAGGGACAGTGTGGGTGAGAACAATGCTGGACTCTTGGACAGGTAAGTGTGTGTTTGTTAAAGGTCAGCAGCTTCAGTTTTTGTAGCTGCTGACCTTTAAAAAAACACAAAAGGCTGGAAGTCCGCTTTAACTGCTCAGGTCAATATCCCAGGAGTTTAATTGACTTGATGCTATGCTCTGATTAAAAAGTGTTTTTAATTTTTTTGAGCAGTGTATATACCTACCTAAAAATCTTTCAGACATTACATTTGTTTGTGTATACTAAACACCATCTAGGCATAATTTGGAAAAAAAAGATCACTTTGCTTAGCTTGTATTGGCATGTTTAGAGAACAGATCTATGAGTCTTCACAGGTGAAGCCTGCACAGAATTTCCATTAACGCAATTGACCTGCATTACTCACATATGCAAACACTGAATTACCCTGAAATAAGCCAATGGCTGGCCCTCCCACTTCTTCTGCCTCACTTCTGAGTCCATCCGTTATGTCTTTACCAACCACTGACATCACTTGGTGGATTCACTTTGGCCCAGACCCCAGCCATGTAAGCAAATGGGCAGGGAATTTAGTATTATGGCTGAATTTGGGCAATGATGTCACCACTATCCCTGCCCTTCCTTTATATAGCTGTTGATAGCATGGTAGTTCGGGGAGCTGTTAGTTGGCTTTGTGTGCAGCGGATTATTGGGTTTTTTTTTCAGCAAGTCAGTGGGCATTGTGGCTGACAATGGATTTACAGCTAGGGATATTTTGGGGGATTTTTTTAAATAAAGGACTTATCAAAAAAATTTTGGTGTTTTTATTTAGTTTTTAATGAATAAGTAAGGGGGGGTGGCATCTGAGGGCCACCTTATTATTAAACAGGGCTTCCAGATTCCAGTAAGCCCCTCGCTCACAGACTCCAACAACCACTGGGCAAGGTTTGTGGGGACAAGCCCCTCGTCCTCATTAACATAGGAACAAGGTGCTTTGCCAGGGGTATCACCCCTGGAAAGGCCCCCCCGCCCCCCCATGTTGATGGCATGTGGGTTGGTATGCTTCATCCTTAATCCAGGTGCTGGTGGGACTGGCTGAAGCAGCAAGAAAGAAACATTTCTCAACAAGAGGAGGCAGCATGTTAGGTAAGTCTTCATCTGAGCAGGTGAAATTTCCTTGAAGAAATGATCCTTTAGTATCACTTCAATAGGTACATAAAGGTTCCTATTCATAATTTAGAATGCAATTTAATGAATCATTTGGCTTTAAGCATTTTGAAAGTGAAAGAGCAGCATATACTGCATGAACGTGTTGGATATTCCATTACCAAACCATGGGCATTAATATGGAGTTGCCCCCACCCCCCAGCAGCCTTCACCCCTCTAGAAAGGCTTGTGCAAGACTTTAGAGTGTGTCTGTGCGAATTAGTGCCCATTCAACAAAAAGAGCCTGTGTGTGGCCAGGTACTGATGTTGGACTAGAAGACTTGGATAATAGCTGGCTTTCGCCATAAAGTGGAAGTGAACAAAAGTGCCCATCTTTTTCACTGCTTTCTGCAATGCTTCTCTTTGGCTATTTAGGTGGCCATTGCTGATGTATTTCCTGTACATGCTGAGAAGGAACCGGGATGTACATTGCTCTAGTATGTAGCAACTTCACCAATGCATTGTTGCAAGCACTTTACCTTGAAAGGGCTACATTTGATAATTCACAAATATACAACATTTTTTGTGTTTCAGATTTGAGTTCTGGCAGCTCCATTGATTGGGCTTATAATATCGGTATACCATATGCATTTGCATTTGAACTTCGCGACACTGGATATTATGGATTTCTCCTTCCAGAAGGTCTCATTCGACCAACCTGTATAGAGACAATGTTAGCAGTCAAAAATATCACAATGCACTTGCTGAAGAAATGCCGCTAGAAAGATGTCTAAGAGCTGTACATTTTCATTGGGAACTGTAGCCTTTTAAAAGATTTGTACCACAACTATTTATCCCTGTTTTGTATTCATTTAAAGGAGTTTTATGTTATGAACTGTATGTAATCAGCATCATGTAATCCTCTGCCCTGAAGAAACCTTGTAGATGAAGGGTCAGCAGTCTGAGGCAATTAGGGCTTTATTGCTGGTTTTTTGAAGTTCTGCTAGGGAACATGCTTACAGGAGAGAAGGCTGGGATGACTTTTGCATTGAGCACCTGTTCCTTCATTGTCCGTTCACAAACTGGCATCCAGAGCCAGAATCAACTGATTGACAGCAATGTAGTCTGCAAGAAACCTAGATGTGCTGTCTTGCAGGCATGACCAGATCACAAGACTGGCTGAAGAGAACTACAAATGCTTTTGCTGTAAAACAGTTCACATATATGCAGTTTAAATGTGTATTTAGCTGTCAGTCTGTAGTTCAGTTGTAATGGGTTATTTAGCTATAAATAATGAGAACAATATATTGTAAATAACATTATCAGTGTGTGTTCATTTTTTAAAACTCTTGTTTCCTGTTTTTAGTTTTTAATTTTATGAATGCATGTATGTGTACTGGTCATCATATTTTCTAATTTCACAATGAGGCTGGTTGTGTTTTGATGATCCTTCTCTCACAGAAAGGTCTGTCTGCTTGAAAGCAATAGGTTGCCAGAAACCCTGTGATCTGTGTAGACTAGCTGATGCCAACCTTATTATCAAAGAGGAACCTTTGAAATAATTTTCAGGTTTCAGGGAACCCCTGCAAAAAAAATAATTTATTTACCACTTTAGGCCCATTAGTTTGGTCAGTAAATTGTAGATAATAATCATAAAAGCCATGCTCTGTATATTAATAAAATTAAACAAAAGATATTTTGACCAGAAAGGAAAAGGAAACAGTAACTACTGTACTTTACACTTACATTGGAGATTAGTGGAGAAATGCCCTCTTGTGTTGGTGGTCAGGAGAGAAGAGTCCTGTTACATTTATGGTCAGTGGGACACAATTAGTGGACAATTAGAGGAATGATGTCCTTTACATTAGTATATATATTAGCTGTTAGTCGAGGAAACCTTGCCAATGTTGTAGGTACCCTGGCTGAGAGACTGATATAGATGTTGCCCTACATTCCTCGAGCTCGGGAGTGGTGTTTAAAGAGAAAAAATCAAAACAGATGTGATTTAGTAATGCTTATACTATATGTGGCCTACATATTAAGGTGATAGGCCATCTTTAATTCAGACCTGAATACTGTCTGCCTAACCTATATTTATGCTCCCATAGTTTTGTTGTTTGAATAGTACGCAATTCTTCTAGTCTCTTATTCTAAACCAGGGGTCCTCAAACTACGGCCCGCGGGCCACATATGGCCCGCCGAGGACATTTATCCTGCCCGCCGGGCAGGGGCATATCTTCCGCGAGGCAAGGGACTAGGGTTTGGCAGGTCGGGAGAGCTCGGTAGGCAGGAGGGCAGGATCAGCAATTCTAGAACAGGGGAAGGTGGGCTCGGCTTATGAACCCGCACCTCTCACCTGGCCTCCCTGCAGCCAGCCAGCCATCTATTCTGATCAGTGCATGCAACCGTCACGGCCGGAGGGCGGAGCCTAGAGCTGACCATGAAGAGGTGGAGCAAGAGAGGAGACTCCATCGCTGCATGTCGGGTATCACGGCCACGGACCCTAGATAAGTGCAATAGATGATCGATCTCCTCCCTCTCTCCCCCCTTCTCTCTCTCTCCCCCCCCCCTTCCTCTCTCTCTCGACCCTCCTCTCTGTCTCCCCCCTCCTCTCTCTCCCCCCTCCTTTCTCTCCCCCCACCTGTGGCAGGCGCAGCACTTGTAGTGCCTTGTGCGCTGTGGCATCAGAAAAATTATGCAATTGCTGTTTCTTTGTTTGATGAGACTGACTTTACTCTGTAATTCCTCCAATGCCGCTCTATGGATGCAGTAGGTTTAAAGAGCACACCGAATACTTTAGTTAACTTCTTTAATAACTTCAATCTTCTTCATATAACACTGCTTACAATGGCTTGTTTCTTTCATATTACAATGGTTTAATTTGTATTACATTGGGTTGATTCAATAGCTTATCTCGATAGATTCAATAGGTTCGATAGATTCAATTGGATTATGATTACTCTACAGTGACTTGATTCGTAAGTTCGATAAGTTCGTAAATTCGATAAGTTCGTAAGTTCGGTGGAACTACAAGTAAACACACACAACAGTTTTAACATACAGATCTACCTGCATTACTAAACAACAGAGGAACACACAAGTGCATTAAATACCTATTTGGCCTGCTCTGCTTCCATAAAGCTTTTCTGATTGGAACTGTCTGTTTCCTCTTCTGTCTGGTGAGCATGTGTCTCTAGAAAATCCTAGCAGGGAGTTTTACACAGGCATAAATGTGAAACTGGCTGGGATTGGTTAAGGCTCTGTACAGTATGAGGCTGTCTGTGATTGGCTCATCTTTAACTAACTCTTAAAGGCATATCCTCCCTTTCTGCTTCTGCTAACACAATGAATATATAAATGTCATATAACAATCAAAGACATATATCACAGCAATGATTCTGCTTTTGGCTTTAACATATGCACATATATACTGTACTGAGGTTATTGGCAGGTTTGGTATACACATATATGTGAACCATATTAACAACCTAGGACTGGTCTTAGCTGGCCAGCTACACCACCCTCTCTCTCCCCCCACCCTCTCTCTCTCCCCCACCCTCTCTCTCTCCCCCCTCCTCTTTCTCTCTCCCCCTCCTCTCTCTCTCTCTCTCCCCTCCTTATCCCCCCCCCCCCCTCTCTCTCTCTCTTTACATTGTACACAGATCTGAGCCAACAAGCTGTCCTGCATTTACCGTATATTTCGCTCCATAAGACACACTTGGGGGGGAAATGTCTGTGCGTCTTATGGAGTGGCCAGCCCAGTATTCCCGCCACCATTGTATGTCCGCAGTCTCTGATCATCTCATGTACTATGTCCGCAGTCTCTGGTCATCTCCTGTACTGTGTCCGCATTTGTTCATAGTTTTTTTTTTTTTTAAACTATAGTCCGGCCCTCCAACGGTCTGAGGGACAGTGAACTGACCCCTGTTCTAAACTATCCCTACATAAGTGCAAAAGGAACCTTAGCAGTATAAATCTTCAGTGCTCTTGAGAGACCAAGAGGGGTGTTTCAACTTTTTTTTTTTTAAAGTGTGTTTTTTCAAAAATATTGTGTTTGTTATGTGTGTATTATATTGTAAAGGTGAATAAATAAAAAAAATCACAAAGTACAGATTAAATAGTTTTAGAAATATCTGGATCTTTGTCAGTATCAACTAGTCTAGGTTAGTCCAAATTTAGTTAGTTTATTCCAGATTTACAATTGTGGAGAAGAGGATATGCTTAGCCTTTGAAATGAATTGTGCTACTTGCCAAGCATTAAAATGCTGCCAATATAAGGAAAAATAGAAAAAGACATTACAGCCATCCTAAGCATGTATCTGCCCGGCTTATTGGCCAGTGTTGTTGGCAGTTTACAGAGCAGCACAAATTATATTGGAAATGTAATATTTTTAACATGGAACCTACCATGGTTACATACAATATGGTTATATAGTTTGCTTGCTTGTTTGTTTGTTTTAAAAAGGCACAAGTCCATTTAGCCAACCCAATAGAAAAAAATAAATAAATAGAAAATCTCTATGTATGGGCAGCACAGTGCCTAAATGGTTAGCACTTCTGCCTGGCAGTTACTAGGGTCATTGGTTTAAATCCCAACCATGGCACCACCTGCTTGGAGTTTGCATGTTCTCCTTGTGCCTGTGCGGGTTTCCTCTGGGTACTCCAGTTTCCTCCCACCCTCCAAAGACATGCAGGTAGGTGAATTGGCTCCTGTCTAAATTGGCCCTAGTATGTGTATGTATGAATGTGAGTTAGGGACCTTAGATTGTACGTCCCTTGAGGGTTAGGGACTGTTGTGAATGCACAATACATATGTAAAGTGCTGCGTAAATTGACAGCGCTATAAAAGTACCTGAAATAAATAAATAAATATACAATACACAATCCTATACCCACAGCTAATGAAGGCAAGCCACCCTCACAAAACATCGTCTGAATTGCTCCAGCAGGGGAAAAACTATTCCTGATCCCCCAGGAGGCATTCAATATTCTCTGGATCAATAATCTATGGTGTTATTACCTGTAAGTGTTCACGTCCATATATAGTTTGTGCATTTAGGAATGCATTTAGCTCCTTTTTTAAAACAATCTACTTAGCTGGTCAGAACTAGTTCTTGGAGTTTATTCCACATTTTCACAGCACTTACTGTAAGGAAGCTTTTCTGTATCTGAAGATTAAATCTCTTTTCCTCCATATGTAAAGAGTGTCCCCTTGTCCTCCAGAATGACCTAAAAGTTAATAACTCTTTACCAAGTTCACTATATGGATCACCTATGTTTTTATATCTGGTGATCATATCCCCCTTAATTGCCTCTTGTCAAGAGAGAATACATTCATTTCAGCTAACCTGACCTCATAGTTGAGTTCCATGCCTCATATCAGCTTGGTTACCCTTCTCTGTACTTTCTCCAGTTCTCCAATATCCTTTTTGTGAACTGGTGCCCAAAACCAAACTGCATATTCTAGATGAGGTATTACTAATGATTTGTACAGGGACAAGATTATGTCTCTCTCTTTCTGGAGTCTATAACGCTTTTAACACAAGAAAGTATTTTGCTTGTGTAGTACTACCCCTAAAGGAGCTGCTAATAGATTTGGGTTCTCTGCTCTTTCTTTGGCCCTAAATGGAGCCCCACCAAAATACTTGGCCGGGGAGTCATCTGGCAGTTACACAAGAAATATACACACCAACTATAATAAAAATTACCAGGTTGTATTGGTAGCAATAAAATGATAAGGCAACAGTTTAGCGTAACAATACAGTACAGTAAATACCCTTTA